CCCAGCCCAGCCCAAACTCTCTCAGGACCCTTTTCATCCTCACCTGGTTTGGGCAGAGACACTGCAGGGAGTAATAAGCAAACTGATCGCGCACGTTCACCAGGTTGTTGTTGGGGTTGATGTGGTCGAGGCAGTGGGACTCGGCCTTCCCAGAGGTTTTACACACATACTTGCAGTTCCCAAAGAGACAGTGGAAGTGGAACTTGTTGGCATACTTGCAGTCTGTGGCCAAGCAAGGATCGCTGGAGGAAAGAGCAAAAGTGAGTTCTTCTGGCTAACCAGGGCAATTGCTAGCTTTCCTTCCACCGTCGCAGATGTCCTCCACCAGCCCTACTCCCTCGTGAGCCCAAACCGCTCTGAGCCGTGGCCATCTCAGTGACAAAAGACCTGTCTTGGATACACCGAGCCCAGGCCACCTCTTGACCCAACATGTCCCTTCAAAAAAAAAAAGGGGGGGGCAATGGGAAAACCTTCATTGGGCAGAGTTTAGCTGAGTTGCTGCCAATCAGAGCAGACGCTGCAAGGTTAGATGGCCAGTTCTCTGGAAAGGGCGGCTTCTGAAATATTTATTTTCCTCCCTTTTTTCCTGAACCCTTTAAAGACTAGTATGCAAAAGAGAACATGTCCCTGTCCGGAGCGCCTCCCAGCTTTCCAAAAGAGCCAGGCTCAGGTCAGAAACACCAAGGACGCCTTCTTTAGAGCAAAGTGGACCAGGTTGAAAGAGAGCCACTCACTTCTCTTGGAACTGGAGGAAGCCGGGTTTGACCTGAGGCTTGGCGTTCTCCAGGGAAGTGGTGGCCAAGGGGGAGGTGGCCAGGCCAGGCCCCGACGCAGGAAGCTGAGACATGGTGGAAGCCAGCTGTTTCCAGGCCAGGAGCGTGGGGGCGGACGGCACGCTCGCCGGACTTGCGGTGGGCCCGTCCACGGCCGAGGCGGTGGCCAGGATGGCGGAAGCGGCGGATGGAGAGGAAGGGGCGAGGGACGTCTTGCTCTCCGCTGGGGTCGGGAAGGAATGCTCCGAGGTTCCCTTCATGGCTCCCCCCTCAGTTCGGAAGTGGAAGCTGCAGGCAGGGGGTGAGGAGAGAGACCCATCATCCACGTGGGCACTTCACCTCCGCTGACAGCTAGAGCAGGTCATCCAGTCCGCGTGTCTTCCCACCCCATTTAGGTTTTGCTTAGTGGGCCCCTGCTAGTTTCTTAACTGGGGAGGTTAGTATTGCACGAAGCGGCTTTCTCACTCTATCTGTTGAATTTCGAAGTCGCCCAGCTCCAGAACGATTCTGCACAGCTTCACAAAATTAAAAAACTTCACTAGGCAACATTCATCTGAGGGAACCTAACTTTCATCTCCCGCTTGAAGGGGCTGGCCCGAAACCCCGGGGCCAAAGCCAAGTTTGTAAGGATTGTCTGAAGAGGGGCAAAGCGAGGGCCATCCAAGCCTCCAAGGTCAGGAGCTACAGACCACGGCTGTGTTTCTGCCACAGCCCTGCTCCCCCTCTGGATTATCAGGCCCTTTTCAGGACTTGAAAACAAGTACAGACAGACTGAAGGATGTACACTCCCCCCTTACACACACACAAGTGCACACACGCTTTTTTAGCGTTCCAATCAGGAGAGGCAGTTCACAAAGACAACCGGAAGTCCGTGAGACAAAAAGCCATTCAAAGATGAAACGCAGCACCCGTGGCTCTGTCCACACCGCACACCACGTCACAAACCAGCCAAGGATATTTTCTCATGAGCTGTGATCCAGTAAATTGCCGCAAAGTGCCTAGGGCATTTCCTGTCTCCCACACGGGAATGAACCTGCAGTGTAGGCTGGTGCTAGTATTCCTATTTCACAGGTGCGAAGACTGAGGCCGAGAGTGCCTCGAAGCGCTGTTGGAGATGTGATCCCACTGCCCGTAACCATCTTTGTGATCTCTGGCCATTCCTCCTTCCCTGAAGGAGCCTCTTTATTTAAAAAGCACACACACACACGCAGAGGAGCCTTGGGGGAAGGACGCTCGGACTTACTTGGCGTGCTTCACGGCTCCATCCACGGTGCTGAAGAGAGCACCACATTCTTCCACCACGCAATGGAAATGCATTTTATGAAGGAAGTCGCACTGGGCATCACAGAAATCCTTGGTGCCAAACCTGCCAAGAGGAGGGGAAGCATGAAGCATGAAGGCCCTGTGCTGCTCACGCTGGCTGGCAGAGGCCCTCCAGGGCCTCTTCCTCAGCCCCACCTG